AGCTTCGGTTGGAGTTTCGAACGTAAGTCGGCGCCCTTTGATCCACTCTACCTCCCGTCTGGCTACTGGAATTCTCTATTTACTATTTAAGGCCGCTATCTATTGCCGTCTCGCGTCTCGTTAATTTATATACGCGTATACACAACGCTCAGTCCATTCCCTTCCTTGCAGACGATAATAAATATTATTCCCTTTCTTCCTCTCTCTTTCTCTCTTTCTCTCTCTTTTTACTTTTCATCCTCTTTGTCTCGCGCCTTTGGACTCGGCTCTTTCTTTACGAGTCCTTACGAACGTGTTTCGTGGAAGGAGTAAAGCCACAGCAAACGGATTGACGTAGACACCACCATCCTCTCTCGTCGCGCAAAAATAGAAAAGCGCCGGTAGGTGCTAGGTATCGAGCTTGTCTAATGATTTTATCGCCTCTTCTCTCTCTCTCTCTCTCTCTCTTACTCTCTCTCTCTCTCTCTCTCATTCTCACACTCTCTAATCTGTTTCTTGCTACATTCTACAATGTCGTGATACAAAAAAGGTAATACGATTTACCGCGACGCGTTGAGAGGATCATTTAACCTTAAGTAATTTTGTCAGCAGTCCTATTTAACAGACTCGTTGAAGAAGTAGCGTTTACACGAATTCTACCGTCTACAAGTTTGAGTAACGTTACGCTCGTGCTATCTAAAGAAGTTCTAAGCTTAGCAATGGTATCGTTAACTAGTTCAAAGAATGTCGACCATCAGAGCTAATCAGTTGCGTTGAAAATTTATCGACAACTACATTTGGTAGATCGGTTTATTTCGTTTCGTTATTTTAAGAAATTAAGTAATTGATGAAACATCACAAATAGTACTATATCATTATTACAAATCTTATTTCTTATTACTTAGAAGTAATCACATTGGATTAACATATTTATCTATTTCCAATAAATTTATAGGAAATATTAATAAATTAATTTAAAAAATATAAGATGAAATAATGGCGAAGTAATTCGGAATTTAATGTAATTTGAAATTACCAATCAAGGAAAAAAATTGTCCAAATTTCAAATAGCCCAATAGCTCTTGTTCGATTTTGTTTCAATTTTGTTCAGGTAACAACCTTTGTTAAGTCGCGGATCGGCATCGGTCGTTATCCGGAAACGGATCGGGACAGTTGGTGGAAGGAAGGAAGAACAGGAAGAGGAGGAGGTACCGAAACGAAAAGAATTCATCCCCTGTCCTCGGTCGGTAAAGCCGCGGCCGTAGATCTCGCGGCACCGTTGATGTGACACGTCTCCCTCTCCCTCTTTTGCTAGAACTCCTGCACCGACTTCTGCTTCTGCCGCTTCGATACCTGTCCGTCTCGAGCCGTCATTAAGCCCCGACCAGATTCCAATCTGAACGGACGGCCGAGGATCCGATCAGGACAGCCGGAGAACGCGCGAGCGTTTCTCCGCTCTCGGCGCGATTGACGTTAAAGCGGCTCGATGGAAAATCAAGGGTCAAGGCTTTCGAACCGTAGCCTTCCTTCTCAAGATCGATTCTTAAGATCGATCAACTATCGATCGGTTATCGATCGGTGTACCTTCGTTCGTTCCTTCCTTCAGAGACCATGTCGAATCGCTTGCTCTCATCGAGAATTTCTAAAGAGTGAAAGAGAAAGAAGAAAAGAGAAAGATGCTAATCGCAGTACCAAACGTCGACAATCATTAGCGAGAGAATCTATCTTTCGGTTGTTCCCTTTCCTTTAAACATCCTAAGTTAGATACTTAAAAATTTTATAGCCGTTTGAGTTTCGATCCTGGTGTTCATTACAAGACGCATTCATAAAGTTAATTGCACTTGCATATAAGAAAAAAAAAGAAAAAAAAAAACAAGAAAAGAAAAGAAGATTTATAACCATTATTTTTATTTTGATAGTAAAATGCTACATCTATTTTTTCTAATTAATCATCAAGTTTATCTAAACATTTATCATGCAAACGTCAAAACATCAAACATGTTCCAAACATTTTTTTTCTTTTTTTTTTTATATGAGTGCATTTAACTTTCTGACATCCTCTCGTGTTTAATCAAGATTTATAAAAGATTAATATTTAAAAACTTCTATATATCATTATAAAAATTATTATAATTAATGCAATAAAATGCAAGTAGAAATGAAGATTATGTCTTTTTCTTTCATTTCGTTCCTTTTTTCCTAGAGACCATCATACCCAGATGCAACTCGATTCTACGTAGTCGTTCACGTCCGTTCCGGCTGTTAAACCTTCTCGTGGATGCGACGACGCGTCGAGATTCGTAATCGGTCCTTCTTTATGACGGGAAGCCCGACGATGCATCTTCGTGGCGCTCGAAGAAAAATAACCGCGTCAGATAAGAGAAAGCATGCGGTGGAAAGGAAAGGAACATTCCCATTTATATTCTTTTCCAGTGTAATCCTTGAGTTCGGGGTGAAGAGATAAGTACCGGTAAGTCCATTTTGACGTTTCAGCTAATCCCACGACGACGTATCGCTACAGCACGATCGATCACCGGACTGTTACATAGTTTGCTTAGTCGCCTCTGTGGTAAATTATTGCAACCGATAAATCGGTAAAAAGCAACTACCCCCAATGGCACTTAGTGAACAAAAATGCTATGCACGAAAAACGATTTTAATGATCATAATTCGGTACAAATGATTTCAGGAACAGATTGCTTGTTAAAAAGTTAAACCGATCAACTCCATTTTTCTAAAATCAATCAATTTCAATGCCCAAACTTTTTGATCCTTTTTATTCAAAAAAAAAAAAAAAAAAAAAAAAAAAAAAAAAAAAAATAAGTTGTATACGAACTACGTACAGCGATAATAGAATTTCTGTCATGAAAAAAACAGGTAGGTTAAAAACTCTATTTATAGCTGATAATATTTTCATTAAAATTTTTTAATCCATAGGTAATAGTAAAAAGATATTCGCCTAAATTATTTCAGCCGAAAGTATTATTCCATGTTATATAAGTTCCTCGTGCGTGGATAGAAATGATTTTTCTTGGAAGATGTAAAATAGTGTTCTTGGAAAAGCGGTAACGTCGTAAAACTGGCTTTCCTTGAAATAATTTCTTCGGTGATTGAGCCAAATCGGAGTATTATGAAAGAGGAAAGTATAATATAAATAAACAAATAAATAGAAGAAGAAGAAAAGGTAGAAAAAGAGAGGAAGAAAGATGGAGGGAGAGAGAGAGAAAGAGAGAATGATGTAGGGAGAAAAGGATGAAGAGAAAGGAGAATAAGGTAGTTCGAGACAAAGCGTGGGACGAAGTTTGGGCGGATCGGTTCGAAGCGGCAGGCTGCTAATGACGAGGCGTTAATTTAGCAGGCACGAGAAGGAAATATCTGCGGGTTGGCACGGTCGCCTGGCCGGTCGCCGTCGAGTGTTATGGAAGCCTATGCATCAGAATGATGAATGATGTTTCGTGGTTGGAGCGTGGTAAACGAAAGGGACCGATGTGTGAGACTGTGAGAAAGAGAGAGAGAGAGAGAGAGAGAGAGAAGGAGGGAAGGAGGAAAGCATCTGCACGCGATACGCGGATCAGCTCGATCCCTCAACGCCGTTCGACTAAAAAGCTCTCGTTTATTACAAACCGTACGACGTTAGCTCGTCCAACAACTCTACCGTTCTCTTTCTCTCTTGCTTTCTTCAATCTTATCCGAGAAGAGATCGCGTCGATACATCTTTCTGGGACGAATCGTACTATCTGGCTGAACTGCCGTGGGACGAACAAAATATCGTCGTGAAATCGAATTCACGTGGTTTCTCCTCTCGACAACTTTCGACTTCATTCATTTTCCAAGTCTCCTTGGCTAACGTCTTCATTCGAATAAATTTTCCGACGTTAATTGTCGCGTTTCGCCGTCGAACACATTACGTTTCATCGTTTATTTTGAAATTCAAACAGCAAACGAGACAACGAGCTTGAAAACGTTATTTCTATTTAATTTGTTTGTTCTCGACATGATATTTTCTTGACGTAAGGCTTTTCCTTTTAATGAGACAGAAATAAATATCTATTTAAACGAAATAACGAAGCAAAACTTGTAACTAGAAAGGTTGCTTGGTATTTGTTCGACTTGTCGACGATATTACCGATCAACTTGCACGTAGCTGCAATATTCTCACGCAGAGACTACGCATAACCTTCTTTACGTCAGGAGAAAAAAAGACAAGAAACGCGTAACGCCTCTTCGTGTCCAACTTTATCTTCGAGATTTTCATTTTATCTGATCGACGTCACTACCGTGCTTCTCGAATATTTCTCTCTCTCTCTCTCTCTCTCTTTCTCTCTCTCTCTTCATCTCTCCCGTTCTTTCTTTTCTCTTTACTCCGCCTTCGTGACAGGTCGCAGTTAATTAAGAAAGAAGCGAACGACGATAATGACAGAGCCAGACGTACTTTTGCGTATGGGGAATTGCAAAATGGCGAAAGAACGGATAGTAAATCAAGATACGAAGCACGTCGGGTAGCTGTATATTGCGACAGTTATACGAGCCATCCATCATCATTTAGAGACGGCATCTATCAGCGTCACCACTCGTGAGCGCGATAATGACGATTCACCGGCTTAGCGGCTTGCTTTGACCCGACGGGCGCCCGAACGACCGTTAATTTACGAACCTTCCCCTGTTAGTATCTTTACATCTACCCTTTCGATAAAGTTACCTCGACATCGTTATAATAGTCGATGTCTTTGGATACAATCGTTTCGTTCATTCTAATCATATTTCTTCGTATCTTTAGCAAAAAACATTCCGATTTACAAAGACGTATATATTGCATCTACTTTTCAAGATATGGTAGATTTTAACGACCATATATCTGTATAACTGAATGATATATTCAGTTCTTTAAATCTAGTTCAATTATTCGAAATAATTTATCATCTAAATGATATAACTGTATTAAATCAAGATGATATAACTGTAAAGATTATTTATTATACAAAATAAGATTTTATATCTATAATAAAAGTATTTTTGGCACGTAAACACGACTTGTAACAGTATATCGGTCATTACTACTTTATTCGAGAAATGGTTTGTTCGAGGACTGTTTCGTTGATGTCGTATGGTCGAGGGTAGCTGACAAAAAAGGGACAATTACGGTGGAAACATCGTCAAGAATATCGGTCATGTTTTCTGTCTCACTCACTCACTTTTCCCTTCAGGCTCGAGGAAGATAATTCCCGCGTTGAGGTTAGGTCTTTCTTGCAAGTAGAAGAGAAGAGAAGAGGAGAGAAGAAGAAGAAGAAGAAGAAGAAGAAGAAGCGGAAGGAGGGTAGAAAGGTAAAGAATCGGGCGGGTTGGGCCAAGCATTGTGTCCTGATAGATGTGTCAAATCCGGGCCGCATTGTGCTCGTGGAGATAAATGGAGCTGGAGTGAAGAAGCAAAACACGTGCCTTTGTTACCGGTCTACTCATCGAAGGTAATTTAGAACGCTTCTCTTTCCAAAGATAGCCCGTGGTACGATACAAGCGCCACGCGCACGCACATCTACGAAAACTTTAAACTCTCTCACGTACGTACCTACGTTAGCACATCCCTTGTAAAACATTAATGAATGATCCATTATTGCGACAAACAGGTCATCCACATTTTGCACGTGTAAACATTTCATGGAATTGACATTATATTATAAAAAAAAAAAATCATCAGTCATTGAATCATATTGTTCGGGATTAATCTTGGATTACGAACGAAAATAACAAAATTTCTAACAAATGTAATTATCCAGTTAATCTACCTCCAAGAATTTTTTCCCGTCTGGAAAAATATTTTTCGTAGATCATCCTCCCTCTGGGTGTCGTTCAGTATATGTATAACTTTGAAGAGACTACGCCGTTGCTCTTTGATTAGTTTCCTTTCCCCCTGTGTATGAAAGAGGAAAGAAAAAAAAAATAAAGAAAGAGGGAGGCCAGCTAGCGAGCAAAAGAGAAAGAGAGAGAGAAGGAGAGAAAGAGTGCGAAGGAAGATGGAAAAAAGAGCGAAGGTCGGTAGTCGCACGTCATTTAAGAAAGATGCATCGTAATCGTCTCTCCGATGCCGAGAAAGAAGAGAAGTTAGTGTGCGTGGGGCGAGCTGGCTCGAGCGCGCGCTCAGAAACAACGTAGGGAGACAGTCCGGGACACAGTCCGCCACCCTGGCGACATGGTTGGGTGCAGAGCAGAAAGCGAGAATTCTCCCGCGGCGCGGAGCCGCGGCACTCGCTTCGCATAAATCATCCCGCTTCTGCTTGGAACAGGGAGAGGCGAAAATAGATGGAGCTCTCTGCGCTTTATACATAAAGAGAGAAAGAGAGAGCGCATCTCTTGCCTTCGTGCCCGTGGCTACAAGCAAAGCGTATTTCTTCTTTTTCTTCTTCTCCTCTTTCTCCTTCTTTTTTATCTTCTTCCTTTTCTTTCTAGTCGACCTCGTCGTCGACATCGATGGCATCGTCCTCCTTCTCCTCCTCCTCCTCCTCCTCCTCCTCCTCCTCCTCCTCCTCCTCCTCCTTCTTCTTCTTCTCCTTAGGAATAAAGACCTCCCACATATTTTCGTGACTTCCTCGAACACAGGTATGAGCGAACCCACGCGATGGGATACCTTCGCGAATGGCGGCGCGAAAGACCGAGCTCGGCTCCTTTCTAGAATCTTAAGAATCCAACCGCTCGCTGGCTTACACTGGCAACGCATAACTCCCGGACAATGTTCTCAGGAAGCTGACGCGAACTCGACACACAGCCTTCCGGCATGCCGCTCGCGGAAGTACGCTTAACAAGCTCGTTTTCGCGCCCCGTCTTTATTTTCCTTTCCTCGCAAGTTGTCCAAGAGTAGAACTCGTGTTTCGTGCTTGTAATGCCGCTGTCGATTGGGAGATATCGTCGCCTCGGGGTGGTTGCTTCCTATCCTATCCGCGTTCTTACAAGGACGTTTATGTCGTCAGGTTAAACCTCGAGGATGATTAAGAATTTTGCTTCCTTTCCAAGATATTCGAAAAAAAAATATATGGTAAACATTTCCGATACGAACGAAGTCTCTCACCTTGTAATTTAATATTCATTAAATTAGCTTGTAATTCAATATTTGCCAAAGAAGCAAATATACGATTTTTGATCCGTTGGAATATTTATTACTCTTTTAGAAATATTGTCCTAAAATAATAAGTATTTGTGATTTATTTAACACGAATATTTTTTTACACTCTTTATATGTAGACATATCGTTGTTTTAAATTGGAACAGTGCTTCTTAGTTTTCGCAGTGCAAACAAAAGACAATTTTTCCATTTTTCCCTTTGTATGCGAAGAAGGAAAATCTTCAAAGTTGCCATCCTTAGGTAAAATCTACAAAAAAAGAGGATAAGATGATGTTAAGCATGAAAAATATCGGAAAAGGGACATTTTTCGTTTGTTTGCTCTATTTGAACGGTTGGATAGCGGATACTTTGGTTGAAAGGACAGGCCGAAAACTCAGAAAAATCAATTCGTACCCCCTGCCTGTTTCGTAACCATGAATCTCGTCTTTCAAAAAAGACAGCTTTTGTAACATTATTTCTCTTAGTCCTGTGTTGGCGCATGTCCATAACCGAAACCGGAGAGAACCTGCCATTGACGTCCTGTGACGACAACGACGACAACGAAGACAACGAACAGGGCGAGGACTAAGCTTTCCAGGGGATCCCATGCAGCATCACGCTGAGCAAAGCGTGGTGCTTCATAAATCTTTGGCGTGTTTTTACGTATCTGACCCCTATGCGACCATTCCATTATTAGATGCAGCTTTCAAGCTTACTCCGCAAGAATTTCACGAAACCACACGGTGAGCAAGCAAAGCCACTCCTCTCCAACCATACTTTGACGTATATTGACCGACCACGTGTCCCTCACGGATTTTTCTTCTTTTCGTTCCGACCAAATCAAATTTATCATCTAGCATCAGCAGCTTCCAATGTTCCATCCGTGCCTTCTATTCTGATCTATTATTCGCCATTTCGCTTCGAGTCCAGTCACGAGATGCGAGTGGTTAGTTTTCAGGAGATTGGACAAACCGTTCCAAATGTGTACGGCCATGGACTCAGAAAGAAAGCGATATTTATGTTTTCCAGATCGTAAATCACGTCGAACTACCCCGACAGATGTGGGTTCTCGAAATTATTACATTTTTCAGCGAATCTATTACTAATAGATTTAGATCTATACGTCACCTAGAGCTTTCTTAATAACACATTCTTTTGACAAATGACCTTCTGTCGAGAACATTAAAATTTATGAGATGCCCAAAATTACAATCGGAATAATATTAGAGAATTATTGTATCGGCGGCCTAGTATAATCTTATTTTCAAAAAAAAGAAACAAACGTCAAAAAAATTCACGAAGGGAGGAAGAGAGAGAGAGAGAGAGAGAGAGAGAGAGGGAGAGAGAGAGAGAGAGAGAGAGAGAGAGAGAAAGAGAGTACGAACGATATAGTGGCTTTGCAGTCGTTCCGTGCGGCTCTTAAACGCGAGGCAGCAAATCATTGTCGGGGTCAGAAACGAGCTGCGTGAAAAATTGCCGGTGCTTCCAGAGAAAACCAATAACGCCCCGCCACATCAAACGCGATTCCGGGAAATCATTACCCGGTCTACGCCCAAGGCTTACACATACGGCGTACCGTTTAAACGCTGCTGGAAGTCGGAGCTTGGAAGTTGGCGCTGCAATCGGTGCGGTGCCAACGTGGCATTGTCGCGGTGCTGCCGCGGCTTTTTCGCGGCTCCGTCGCGGCTTCGTCGCGGTTCGGTCGTGGCGCTGCTATCGCAGTTGTCTTCCCTCTTTCTCTCTCGAGCGCTGCCCCCACGACGTGAGTAACGTCCCGAGTAATATTACGATGACAGTAATTGCTGCTTTGATCAATGCAGATACAGCCGCGCGTAGGCAGCCTGTCACGCCACTGGGATTCAACGCGAACCTTTCCGGCGTTGTGTTGCGGATAGTCGCCGTAGGCGGATGTATTGCCTACGTGCCTACGACTCTCTTACGCGGATTCGTCGCTCCTCTTCCTTTCGTTATTCGTTATCCGTTATATGTATAGGTATCTATATGCATGTATATGTTGCACGCGGAACGTCGAGAAATAATCGAGCTTCCTGCGTAACGGATTTAACTTCGTAGACAAATACACGAACGACGAGGACACGAACGCGTTAACGACGATGCCACGATCCATCACCTGTCGCGTCGCTTTCCACTTTTTTTCCTTCCTCGTCGGCCATCTTTGCCTTCCAATACATGCTCGACTCCAAGAGGTGTCTTAAGAAAGTGGTAAACGTTTGGCTCTCGACGACTTCGTTAAGAAGATTAGGTAGCTAATCTCTTAAGAAAGAGATCAAGGATGATGATTTTATTGCGATCCTCTTTCTCGCCTCACCTTTTCCCCTTCCTCCGTCGAATAAAAAATCCGACGCATCGTTTCATCGCCAAATTATCTTGGCAACGGACTATGAGATTAAGAACGGCGTTATAATATTATAGTTATACATTCCAGGCACATTTCGCTCGTAAAGTTCGTTAAAACGACGGCTGCTACGCGCAAGGATCGCATAAAGTACGTTTCAAACGGAAGACACGGTGACCCAACGGTCGACATAAATATCGGAGAATCGTAAAGTCGAGGTGTCATGCAATGGCGCAACGGTTCACGATGGATGAGAACCGTCGGACTTCTATTAGCGATCGGCGATCGACGAACTCCACCAGACAGCTCTAGCGAGAAAAAAAGAGAGAGAGAGAGAGAGAGAGAGCGTGTATTTGTACGTGTGCGTGCGTGCGTGCACTTTGTGAGAGTCGTCCTAGCAGGAGACCAAGAACCATCCTCCTCCCTTCTTCTCCCCCTTTTTTCCTTCTCTCTCTCCACTGTTACGGAGACTTTTATTTGTGGTGGAATAAATAAAAATTTACGAGCAATTTACGGAGGGTCCTCCGTCAGGTCAGGGGGATCCATCAATTTACTCCGAAGTGCTCGTTTGGCGCGCGGGCTACAAAATCGTCGACGAAGTTCTCTTTATGAAGCTAGAATAGATTAATGCTCTCGTTTGTTCGGTAATGGCCCCGATAAATTATCTTAATAGCTCGAGGCGGCTATAAATATATTCCACGGTTCCTGCGCTCTTACGCTTGTTTTCCTGCTACATCGACTTCTCTCTGCGCGCCGTCGAACTGCCATGTTTTCCGTGTCACTGATACCATGAGGCACTCAGCGGTGAAGGGAAGAGAGAAGGGCGACGAGAGGATAAGAAAAAGAAGGAAAAGAAAGATAGAAGAAAAAAAGTAGAGTGGAGGTATAAGAACGATGCGACTCGATGCACTATCCTCGCGGCTTTCGTGTAAAGCTACGCTGCTCGCTAATGTTCGATATTATTCAAATTTTCTTTCCGACCGGTGTTTCGTACGTAACGGATCGCTTTAATCTAGTCTCAGTGATCTTTCTGAACGTTATTTATGGTTCCGGAACGTAGAAAGCGTTATTGCGTGCAAGGCACGCGTTTGCCAATATCTAAGTGACCTCACTGCCGGTACTCTTTTGTTCTTTCTAACCGAAGGTCGATACCGTTCGAATCGCACTTTCTCATTGATCTTCCAAACTCTCTTCGAAGGACCTTCATAAATTATTCTCTTTTAAAAGAAATTCTTCTTTTCTAGATCGCTATTATTTTTCATTTAAACGACTTTCATGGTAACATAACGAAATCGAGCTCGTAAAAAATTTCTCAAATCTATGTGTATACTTTATACGTTTTATTATTAAATGCAAACTGAATAAGAAATGAAAGAAAATGACGACGGCGATGATATCAGCTGTAGGAAATATAACGAGCGGAAAAATATCGTGATGACGTGACACGAACGCTGCATAAATTTGATGGAATATTCCTATAATTGCATCGGAATGGAGACATTAAGAGGATTGTAAAAAACTAGGTAGGATCGTAAGTTTATATACGCACGAAGAAAATTTCATATCTATCGTGATATTATGAAAAAAAGAAATTTATATAAATTGCAACTGCGATATAAGGTAAGCTATTACGACAGATTAATACGTCGGTAACGTTAAATGGTGAGTGAGCTATCGGTATGAAAAATAATATAAAACGTGAATGCCAATGAATATTCGAAATAAAACTCGTGGAGCAACTGAAAGAAGGAAAGGTAAGAAAAAAGAAAAAAAAAAGAAAAGAAAAAAAAAGAAAAATATCGTTAGCGCATAAAGTCTGCGTAACTATTTTCTATCTCTTCTCATCTATCTCGAATCAAATGTAACTCTTTATAAATAAATTTTCTTTCCTTTTTAAAAATGATCATCTCGACATTTATTTCTACGGTAATCGTTGCTTGCTTTTGAAAATAGAAGCCGATGAAGTCGCGTAAAAGGGGAAAAGAAGAATAACTACGAGCGCACTAAAACGAAGAGGTATTCAAGAGTCCGTAATGTTCTCAGAAACGGTACTGAATTTCTGGGAAGGAGACCTTATCTAGCAAGCACAGATAGCAGCCAATAACGACAACGACGAAGACGACAACGAGGTTGAGGTGAAGGAGAATGAAGAGGAAAAGAAAAATACAACGACAGAAACGCAAAAAGTTACATGTGTTAGATGGCACACCGACTAATAGTGCAAGAGGTCTTATTCCGATGAGAATATATGAAGCGACACGAAGGGAAACAAGCGAAACTCAGTTGTTCGCTGACTGCACTATAAAATACATCGTAAAAGGGAAGAAAAAAACTGGACAAAAGTGAAAAAACGGATCGAAAGAACAAACGAGAAGTGTCTCTTTTGCGAAAATGTCCATAGTTATCCAAAACGAACGAGTTGAGTGAGTATCGGTCAATCTTTTCATTTATTATTCTCGCAAATTATCTTCTTTTTAATATTTAAACTTAAATAAGTGCAAATATTTTTAGCCGACACTATGTTGACAGGTTCTACTTCGTGAAATTCTCAGCACTATTTCGATAGAACTATTGGACGTATAATCATAAATTTTATAGGAACCGGTCCGCGAATTTATTTTCTGTCTTTTAAACTTCTTAAATATGGAAGAACGAAGGACACGTTTCTACTATATTATTTAATGATATACAAAAAAAAATAGAGAGAGAGAGAGAGAACTCGTAAGTGAATGGAACGATCGTAGATAAAAAAAAAAAAAAAAGAATTTTGAAAAAGTCGCTAAAATAATCATGCAAATTTTAATCGAATTACTTGATTTTATGTAATTTATGCGACATCTACGTTGTTTCGAATTCGACTCGACAAATTTTACTGAAATACCTAAAAAAGCATTTCTGTATGATATTCGATAACGTACGAACGCACATGATTTCTAAAATGATTCCACACATCTTCAATTTTATCGCATCTCCATCTTCTTACTTCTCTTTTTTGCTCGTGTAATTTCATCGGGACTTCGCCGGTTACGGTACTTGTGAGTCATTACCGACGCGTCATAAACATCGAAATGCGTTTCGAATGGGGAACGATATACGAATGCAGTGTAAATGCGTTTCATCTTTTGCATCGACATGAAATGAAAAGAAAGGGAAAGGAAAAAGGGAAAGATGAAGAGAAATCGGCGAGAAAAAGGGATTACATTGAGAATATATTTCCTTTTAAATTATTCGAAATTGATTTCTGTCTCGCCTTTTCTCTTTTTCGTTCTCTCTCTTTCCCTGTATCTCTCTCTCTCTCTCTCTCTCTCTCTCTCTCTCTCACTTTTAACGGATCGAATGAAAATATCCTCGAGGCTACATGGAGATGCCGAGAAACGGCAGCTCAGACATACGCCTGGTATTTGGCAGAAATTAGGTTGGTAATGCCTCAGCGACCGGTCTCAGCAGCACTTAACGCCGTAAAGCTGTTTGATGGCATCGCTATCACCCCTAACCGTTCCTAACAGTCCAACGCACACTTCACACTGCGCCCGGGCTCTGACACTGCAACCGTGAGTTATTCACTTAATGCGGCCATTACGCGCTCCTCGATGGTGCTTCATCCTGATTTACTTGACAAGCATTTATTGCTTCTATCTCGGCTAGCAATATTAAACCCTCTGCTCGCGTTTCCTACGTTCATATATACATAGGTATATCCTACGTATCTACGTGTTACGTAGAATGCGTTCTCTTATGCGTATTCTACGCACATGTATGTGTAAGGGAGCGGGTGTGTACAGGCGATATCACGACGACGATGGTAAGAGCTCCGCGGCATGATCGATGACCAACATACTTACATAGAGACGCTTCGAGAAACCCATCGACTTCGTTCCTTTCGCTAGCCACCACGAAACGGAATCTTATAAATTGTACCTATAGGTTAACGTATAAACCTACGTTACAGACTATACGGATTAAAATAAGTTAACATGTTCACTTCGAATAATTTTAGAGTATGATATCGGATAAATATATCTATTATTTTGAACTTTGTAATTATGTTAAATAAATTTTCATTCAAAATGAAATAAAATTTTTAATATTTTCATCAATATGATAATTCCTTATTGCTAAAGTTTTTCAACTTTATTGCTGGAAATTTCATCTTAAAAACGTTTCGACTTTAAGATCTCTTATTTTTTATTCGAGAAATATCAATACTCGTGTTTTCTTGTTTAACGTGCTCGTACCGAACGTCTATACGTCTGTTAGATGTATTAAATTCAATGTCGTATAATAAATATCACGCTATTATTCTCAATTGTACTTGGCATCGCACGAATATTCAGTTTCCTACGATACTTGAAAATATCATAGAAGACGTCTTTGTTGATACGATATAGTCTATATAAATACGATGTGTTTTTCTTTTGAAACGAGTATCTCCATTTCGAAACAAAGTTTATAAACATTTTTGAAATATCATACTCATCTTCTCTCTCTCTCTCTCTCTCTCTCTCTCTCTCTCTCTCTTTCTCACTCTATATATATATATATATATATATATATATATCTTTCTATCAAAGGCCATAATTTAAATGTAATATGTACGTAATACATACGTAAGTATGTACATCTCACTACGGATATCCTCTTTCGTGGAACCAATTCTATTGGGCGCGTACATGAGATTCGTTTTATCACCAACGAATCATTAAATCTACAATTAATAGCTACTCGGTGAAGAGTCGACGAGAATCGGAGTTTATGTGTCCGTTAGGGGCGACGATGATGATTTATTGGTGATCCTATTAAAGTCAACCAACTACCATTGCTTCGCATGTTAATGTGCTCTCATTGCTTTTTGTTTATGACTTCCTTCACTCGTACTCTTTCCCGATACGTTGATCGTAATTTGCACGTACGCGTTGTCATCGAGTCGATCGATTCTCCTACGATAACTAATCGACAACGAGTTCTGGCGATATGCCTGAATGATCGTTTCCCAACATGTCGTTGTTGTTTCGTCATTGCACCGTCCTTAGAGAAATACGATCCATTTAGTTTGCATGGATTTAATATCATTACTTTCATTTTATCATATGCTAATGAGCCATAAGTCATAATGTTCGAATCGAATGTTTATGGATTAATATATAAACTTACATATTCTTCCCATTATATTGTAATAATTGTCGCTACATTGTAACGTTACAAAGATTGTTTATCAAAGCAACCAAATAGATTATTATACGGATTATAACATGAATAATTATTCTCTTGATACTTTATAATAGAAACGATATATCTGTTTGCCGTTATTCTGATTACTATCTCTTTTTCTAATAAAATATAAATATAAATTATAAATTTTTTTACAACGAAAATATTTCATTATAATTGTCATCGTACGAAAAGAAAAAGTATTATCATTTGATTGGAATATAAAATAGACAGTAAAAAGTGCATAACACCTCTTACCTTATCCTTATCTACTTATTTCTCTACCTTTACCTTCTTAGTCTCTTCACGACGAAGAGAAACGACCGAAGTCGAGACTCTTGAAGCATGCCCAACATGCTTTATGACTTCTTGGAACGTTCGACTCTCGCGTTAAATCGACCAGTCAAATCGAAGAATAGGTGCTCGGAAATGCGCGAATGCTCTTGTACCCGTCACTTTCTTCGTGGCTGATCACTCATCAGGAATCGACCGACAAGTATACCCTTTGCAGCGTTCATCGTCTTGTTTTCACCGTCGTCCTGTTTCTTCTTCCCTTCCTCTTTCTCTTCTTCGTGCAAACTTCGATCGTAGAAAAAGGAAAAAAGATGGCAGGAGAGAATACAGTGAAAATTGTGTATGTTCGGTGGTGATAGTAGCTGTGTTGTTATACCTTACCGAAGCGGTTGTTATTCCAACGCGTAAGTATACGGAAAAGGGAAGAGAGGACATGAGAGGAAGAGGAAAGGAGAGGAAAGGCGAAGTGCACACATCGGTACCAACTGTGTAATTTGAGGGTAATTCCGCGAGTCGTATAACCTGTAGGTAATGCCGGCAGGCAGGCAACCAGCCAGAGAATGCATCAGTGCGCTCCTCGTTTCGTTTAATTGGTCGTTTCTGGCTTTACGAGGTTTCAGTCGAGGTGCTACGACAACGAGGACGAAACGAGGACGATTGGATGGCGAACTCGTGCGTCCGCGCCCGAATGAACGAATAAACTACAACTACCGCGAGTAGCCAGGCAACAACTAAAATTTACACATGATATTTTCAATGTTCTAAGAAGGACATCTATTATTTTTATCAGAAAATTTTATAATGAAAATCTCTCATTTTGTTGACATTTTTTCTTTACATATTTCATTGCCTAAGTCATATCAAGAATAATAATAAAATAAATAATCACGAATTGTTATTACTAAAGGTTATCTATAGGATATAGGATGTAGAAGATAGCGTCGTAATGTCACATTATTCAGTCTCTATTTGAATCTGTTTCGAAGAGGTCGTCAAGATATCTACTATTAAGATACTGTCAAGATATTATCAAGATTATAATGTAAATGTAATAAGGTAATTCAGAGAACAGTCTAAATATTCTCCATAATAATTATATATCATTTGTTAGAATTTTTTAAGTACTTATTATTTCAAGATATGTATATTACAGTATTTTAAATAATTATATCTTACACAATTACTATAGATAAAGTATCGTAAAATGTCAATTAAATTCTATGTTTTTAATATTATTTTTATTTTTTTTATATTGAAATCACCTACTCTTAAGTTATTTATAAAATCATATCTACATATAAGAATATTTTAATAGCTTATTTAAAATTCGCTCGTTATTGCGTACCCAACCAGTATCCTTGCATAATATCGCAGTTTACTGTAAAGGAATGAAAGTGAAAGAAATAAAAGGGGAAAAAAGAAAGGAGCGAAGTAACGATGACGAAGATTCGGACAAAATCCAAGTCAAAGCGATGGAACGTGGAAAGGAACGCAGAGAGGATCGAAAGTTTCGCGTTTCTCTAACCTTTCTCTTTCTCTCTCTCTCTTTTTCTCTCTCTCTCCGTTTTTTCTCTCTCTCTCTCTCTCTTTCTCTCTTTGTCGTGTAACAAGACCTGTGCGGGTCCGGCGGTCCCAACTTTTTTATCCTAATATGAATTCCCGATTCTGCGTAGCGCCGTGGTCCTTGAAAGCCTGGCAACAGGACGAACGTCCACGTCGTTGACGTCGAATACATTAGTGATTCCTGGCGGGGGACGCGCCGTAATGAATGTTTCCGGTGACGGCCGACATCGGGGAATGCCTCTCGCGACAAACAATACGGCCCTCTGTTCATCGAAGCCGCTTCCACTCCTCTTTCTCCCTCACTCTGTCTCTTTCTTTCTCATCGGCGTACATTGGTAACATGCACGGCCAAAAGGGTTCGTCGTCACCGCCCCGTTTCGATCGAAATTCGTGCTCTGACTCGACGATCGATGATCGTTTGCGAGCCTTCCATTCTTCCTTTCGATTCTTTCCTTCGATCGAACGACGTCGAAGTACGCGCGTAAAGAGAAAGATTCTTAAAGGTAATACACTCGTACCCTTGTTATATTAAGTATCTCAATATAAAGGCCAAAAAAAAAAAATCAAGCACACAATTTACTTCTGATCTATTTAACATAACATTCGTTTTATATATTTGTTATTTTATTTTTCAATTATATCTTATTCAAAAATTTTCTCTTCATCATTAATTTTCTATTCTCTTCAAGGATAATTAGAATCTATATTTTCAACTTTTAGATATTTTTATACGTATTTTATACGTATAAATAAAATGATCGATGATAAAATGAAAATAAAATGACATTATTTCTGGAGATTCGAAAAATTGATGCA